GAGTTTTATTCTCCAAAAAAACGCTGCCTTATTATTGGTGATTGCAGGGGCCAAATTTATTTAAAAAAATCCCCGATGGGGCTCTTCAAAATACTGGGGCAGCTGTCACTGTTGGAAGTGGGCAGTCCTTACCCCCAAAATTTTTTAGTGCTTTAAAGTATTCCTCTAAAGGGTCATCAAAACTGCTGGCGGCGAAATTGCAAGGCGATAGGTGCAAAAATTTTTTGTAGGTTTTTAAAATACTGAGACTTTAGGGTTTTGATGCTTTTTGTAGGTATTAACTCCAAGAAAAAAGCCCATATATCTTTTGGGTTTACACAAAATTTATGAGCCGATTAGGTTTTTCTAAAATCTTCTTTAGGAAGGGCTCCCAAAAAAGTTTTCGAAAGTCTTAAACCCCGGGCTTCCCTTTTCCCGAGAAACCGGGGGATAAATGGGGGGCCAGTCTTGCCTCTCGGTTTCAGTAAAAAGCTCCTTTTTGTGATGAAATCAGCGGGAGGTCACCAACCCGGTAGCCCAGGATTCTATGTTCAATAAATTGTTTTTGATTTTTAAAAACAGGCCCTTTTTTTCTAGGCTTTATTTAAAAAGAAAATTTCATAGTTCTTCTGCAACAAAAAAATATAATGCTGTACTTTTAAAAATGGCTTTTTCAGGGATGGTGATGCTTTTCATATTTTCAAGAGAAAAGTTATTTAAATACAGGGCCCCATATTTTAAATACCATGTAATCTGAAACGCTGATAAATTTGGGTAAAAATAGGGGGAAAAATACAAAACCATGGTTTGGTGCCCATGAAACACACCCCAAAATGTTGTTGTTTTTAAGGGCCCCAGAGGTGGTGCAGTATTATCCTGCTGCTGCCCTTTTTTCCCCCCCGGACCAGTATCATTTCAATAGAAAAACAAAGTGTCTACCTAAGAGGGTCGCAGGACCTATGTTTAGCCCTTTTTACAATGCCATATGGAAATTTTGCTTTCTTTCTTGGTCCCCTTTCCTTGACAAAAAAAAAATGAAAGATAGACTGGGAAAAACCCCGAACAAAAAAAGTAAGATTAAACCCGGGGCTGGGGCCAAGAGAACTTTTAGGCCAGGATGGGAAATTTCAGCCCGTTGGATATGCTGAATGTTTTAAAACAGAGTAAACAAATTTAAGTAAAACTTTTTTTATAAAATTGTCACGAACAATGTCCAAAAATTTTCCCTTTCTTTTCAATTTTGTCCAAAGGGTTTGGGAAACCCCAGCCCAAACATTTGTACTAGGGGGGGAGAGAGCAACCCAAATTTGGGGAAATACCCCCAAGTCAGTGGCCAGGCTTCAAACACCTTTTATTGTACGCAATTAAAAAAAAAAGGAAAAGATACCCCCCAAATGTCAAGGGGCCAAATCTTAGCATGAACCCGTTAAAGGGGGGGGAAAAATTTGGGGGAAAAAGGGTCTGAAAGAAAAGAAAGCAAAAGAAAGGGAGGGGAAAATTTTTTTCTATTTTTTAGCTAAAATTTGTTTTAAAAATTTTTCCTTATCCCCAGTAATGACCCTTTGTATTGTAGATAGTCGTAATTCCCTCGGGTAGGGGGGGGAGGGGGTAGTTCTTAATGACCCTGTTTTTGTAAAATAGTCGTTTAAAGGGCCCCCGTGTAGTAGATAGTCTTTTTAGTATGTTTAAAAAGATGTTATTTTTCATTAAGAAAAATAAGAAAATATTATAACCCTTTTTATTATTTAAAAATTTAAAAAGGGAAAAAAAAAACCCCAATGGAAAAAAAACACTTGTCTGGGCTTTTTTTTGGGTTATCCCAGGTTTTCTACACATATGCTGTATGTATTTATAATTCTATGTTTAAATGTTTGTGTATACCGAAAAAAATTTTTCTTACTTACTTACTTACTTTAAAGGGTTTTTTCTACAGATTTTTTTTTTTGCAAATTCAACAAAATAGTTATACCCGGTTTTTCCCACACTTTTGGGTGCTTGTATGATTTAATTTTTATGAATGTATTGGGTATACCTGAATAAATTTACTTACTTACTTACTTACTTATAAGGTTTCTTCTACAGATCTTTTTTCTTGCAAATTCAACAACATAGTTATACCCATAAAATATTAATTTTCTCTTTCGTCTTTTATTCTTTTCTTTGTGTTTGTTGGAAAATTTTTTTAAATTTTTTGTTAAATTTTTCCAGAAATAGTTTGATGTTTGTTAAGATATATGATATATACACATCGAAAGCAGCAGTGTTTATACACAAAAGGTAAAGGATTACTGATGTAAATTTTTTATCTATCCTCCCTTCCTTGGATCAAGCCTAAGTACCTTACCTGCCACTGTGGGGGGGGCCCCCAATATTTAGTACAGAGAAATTATGCAGGTAAATTTTGCAATCAATGTCCCTAATTATTCCTCCCCCCATAACTGTGAAGAACCTTTGGTATATCAAACAGTTTACACTTACTGATGTTGATGTAAGAGAGAGTCAAATGGGGCTTTAAGGTCACCAGGTCACAATATCATCCCTCCTTCATGCCCACCTTTTCAGGTCACCAGGTCACAATATACCCCCTTTGTGACCCCCAGGGCACCAGGGCCATTTTTTTCCCCTTTGTGACCTCAGGTCACCGGGCAAATTCCCCCCGTACTCAGGTCACCAGGTCACAATTCCCAAATTCGTGACCCCTTCTCAGGGCACAATCCACCCTTTGTGACCTCAGTCACCATCACAAATCATCCCCCCTTCATGCCCACCTTTTCAGGTCACCAGGTCACAATATACCTCCTTTGTGACCTCAGGTCACCAGGTCACAATATACCTCCTTCGTGACCTCAGGTCACCAGGTCACAATATCCCTTCGTGACCTCAGGTCACCAGGTCACAATATCCCTTCGTGACCTCAGGGCACCAGGTCACAATATCCCAACTTCGTGACCACCTTCTCAGGTCACAATATCCCACCTTCGTGACCTCAGGTCACCAGGTCACAATATCCCACATTCGTGACATCAGGTCACAATATCCCACCTTCGTGACCTCAGGTCACAATATCCCACCTTCGTGACCTCAGGTCACCAGGTCACAATATCCCACCTTCGTGACCACCTTCTCAGGTCATCAGGTCTCATTCGTCTGGACCATAAATCATTACAATATATAGTTCCTAAAATTATTTTGAAAAAAAAAAGTTATGGCAGTAACACTAACATATTTGTTGAGTGTATATATTCGGTAATATCAATTACTTGACCTGAGTAATTTGCTTGAGTAATTTTGCGTAATTATAAATCAGTTACATGATTAGAAAAGTATAACCGACATTTCAATATTACTCGCTAAATTAATATTTGACGTCATATCCTGACGCCTCCCTTTCGGAAGGCAATTTATATTGGCCAATACAAATTAACAGACCTGTAGTGACAGTTAATACTCTGGGAGGCGGACATTACAGTGTGATGTCAACTTCATCAATTTCTGACGATACTGCTTCTAATACACCTTAGTTGATTTCACTGGAAGATTCAGCCGATTTCTCAATTCCTTGAGAGAGCCGACACTACCTCACAAAACTGCTGCTACCCGAGCATTATCCCAGATTCAGTTTTCCTTTTATAACCTCTTCCCTCGAGTCAAACAGAGCCGAGACCAGCAGTCAACCTTCCACAGCCGTGTCACCAACACTGCCTTGCCATCTACATAATCTCCCCCACTCAGCTGGAATCACTCCCTCGTTTCCTCACAAGTAGTTTGTTAGTTTGTGACTACCATTATACTTCACAGTTACATTACATTATATTAACACTTCGCATGTACATTACCAGTTATAGGAAAATTAGAGCAAATTTTCCACAAGCACGTTTAGTTTAATATGTTCATTATGTACCCCATACCCATCCTGTGGGCGGTAGTTAAAAGATTACACAGGTACATAATGAGTCCAGGGGCTGGACTTAAAAGTTTTGATAGCTGAGCACGTCAAGGCTGGCGTACTAAATCTTTGGGATGATTCATGTAACAATTTGTGTTGGTGTCCTGTGCACGTTATATAGACCTTTCCCAGATTTTGTATTTCCCTTGATAACTACAGAATCTGTGATCGGCTCTAAAATTGCAAGACTCGTGTATCCTTAGAAGAAAGTTGAATATTTAATAGTGTGTGTGGGTGATATTTTGCCACTATTCTCAAAATGATACAGTAACAATATATATTATTGCATTATTTTGCCTGGATCTTGAAGATAAACTTTTGACCCAAAGTAGTGTATTTATCCTCTTCCTGAGAGGATGGAATCTGAATGTCTTCCAACTGAACTGAACTCTCAGGTAAGACTCAGAGGAGTGTGAGGATAGTGGAAGAGCAGTGAGGGAGAGGAATGATTTGAGGACTGAGGGAGAGAGCTGGTGCTACACCCAGCTGCATGGCGCTGGTTGGCCAGAACTAATTTGTTGGGAATTATAAGACAAATTGATAATCATACAGAAACTAAAGCAAAATTTTGTCATTAAGAATATTTTGTACATCAGTTTTAATGGGTAAACGAATAGTCAGTCAAACTACTCGGTGTTTTGACCGTCAGGGCCCCCTTCCATTCTGGGGGGGGGGGGACTACTTGTGTTTACCCACTACCCAGGGTGAGCCACTAGTGTTACTACTCCTGTGACTATAATCACAGTCTGAATAACTTTCGTATCGTGTGTGGACTACACGAAGGTTACTCAGGCTACAAGTTACCTCTTCACCACTAGTTAAGAATACTTTCATCCCTTAATTAAATAGGAATTACAGCCGACTCTCAGTGTACATACACTGAGACATACACCTCCGGGTGTACACATCCTTGTGGGAACTTGTATCACAGTATAAATAAAAGGAAGAATCAGAGGTATGTTGATTTTTACGGAACAATGTTAGATAAGTCCTGCACAGATGCACTTGGTAGCCATTAATGCACGACTTTTCATTTGACAAAGTAACCAAAATGATTAGGGCAGTTAGAAATGAATTAGCAATTTCTTTTATTCTTTTTTTTGCCGCCTAAGCGACTAGTTTATTGTGCTCGTCCTGTGAGCGGTAGTGCAAAAAAAAAAAACATTAGAAAAATTACAATGAGAGAATAAATGTCTTATCGTAGCCAATACAAACACTCGTCATTTTCCGGGTTACAGTCTCATCAAACATGTGGATACAGTCTCATCAAACATGTGGATACAGTCTCATCAAACATGTGGATACAGTCTCAAGATTTCAGATATTTTATCATCAATAATGAAGTGATTTGCTCATGACAGGAACATTCAATACTGTCGACTGAGTCCAGAGATCGAATCCCCGGTACGGCTGGAAAACATCAGGACGTGTTTCCTTGAGACACCTACTATACTATACTATACTATACTATACTATACTATACTCTCTCTATTTGTACACGTACAAGGTATACAGACAATAGCTGACATACTACTATATAGAAAGCCGCTTGTTATGCTGAGCATTTCCCGCAAATTAGGTCAGTATTGTCCCAGGATGCGACCCACACCAGTTAACTAACACTCAGGTACCCATTGTACTGATGGGTGAGCATAGACAACAGGTGTAAGGAAACACGCCCAATGTTTCTACACTCGCCGGGAATCGAACCCGGACACCTTACCGTGTGAAACGAGAGTTTTAAAACCACCAGGCCACGGGGCATCTACTGTCCATGTTCACTCATCAGTAAAATGGGTACCTGGGTGTTAATGGACTGGTGTGGGTCGCATCCTGGGACAAAACTGACCTAATTTGCCCGAAATGCTCAGCATAACAAGTGGCTTTCTATATAGTAGTATGTCACTGATGTCAGCTATGGTCTGTATACCTTATACATGTACTTGTAAATAAAGATATTATTATTATTATTATTACAAGAGTAATCTGGAGTGCAGACACTTGTAATGAACACAAAAAGTGAGTAATGGTGATACTGGTTAAGGACTCATGATCGAAGGGTTGGATTTACTCTCTCTCTTTTTATGAAACCTGATTATCTCTCAATTTCCAGGCACTGTAATGACCCCTAAGGTTCTAGCGCTTCTCCATCAATATAACAATAACCTTGTTTAGCTCTACCGCCCCTTTAAAACTCTCTCAAATATAAGTCGAGTTTCGTTTTCAATTTTATCTTCAGCACTTGACATACAAACTATGGCACGTTTTCTGCTCTCACAATAGGTACTTTTATTTACCTAAAACTGATACATCAGCAGTATATTGCTATCCTATTCTATATGATAGTTATTAAGTGGGAACAAAAGCTGTTTTCCCCTATTATATTGCTTAATACAAGATACGATGTTGTAATGTGTCAGCCTGAGCTGGGAGACCTCAGTATGGCACCTCAGTTGTCTCGGCCTTCCCTGGCACCGTCTGCATGGGCCTACAGGCCTGCTGCAGTGTTCCTCCTTTCTTTCTTATGTTCTTATGTCTGCCTCAGTGCCACCATATACATAGTTAGCCAGACGAGGTCTCACTGCGATGATGAAAGACTCGATGCCCAACTCATTGATGCCTCGTCTGATCCTGAAGTGACCTCGCTCGCCCCACTCTGTACCCCACGAATTGCTCACCACCTGCAGTTAAGTATATTTAGGTACACGTACACATAAATACAATTATGATAAACAGTAACATATGTGTAAATTACTTAGGATAACACCCCAAAAAAAGTGAAAGTGACTTGTTTCAATTAGGGTTTTATTATTATTATTATTATTATTATTGTTATTATATATTATTATTATTATTATTATTATTATTATTATATATTATTATTATAATTATTATTATTATTATTATTATTATTATTATTATTATTATTATTATTATTATTACTGTAGTTAAACTTTCTTACACATTAGAATTTTACTCAGGATGTGAGATTTCCAATAGAACTTAGATTTTCTAACTTATTTGCATAGAAATTTTTAACAGATCTGACCCAAGATAGTCAACTAGGACTGTGGTACATAATTTTACTGGTACAAGAGTAGGAGCAGCAGGTGAAGTAGACTGGTAGGAGAGTAGGAGCAGCAGGTGAAGTAGACTGGTAGGAGAGTAGGAGCAGCAGGTGAAGTAGACTGGAAGGAGAGTAGGAGCAGCAGGTGAAGCAGACTGGTAGGAGAGTGGGAAAGCAGCAGTGAAGTAGACTGGTAGGAGAGTAGGAGCAGCAGGTGAAGTAGACTTGAAGGAGAGTAGGAGCAGCAGGTGAAGCAGATGGTAGGCAGGTAGGAGCAGCAGGTGAAGTAGACTGGTAGGAGAGTAGGAGCAGCAGGTGAAGTAGACTGGAAGGAGAGTAGGAGCAGCAGGTGAAGTAGACTGGTAGGAGAGTAGGAGCAGCAGGTGAAGTAGACTGGTAGGAGAGTAGAGCAGCAGTGAAGTAGACTGGTAGGAGAGTAGGAGCAGCAGGTGAAAGTAGACTGGTAGGAGAGTAGGAGAGCAGGTGATGTAAACTGGTAGGAGAGTAGGAGCAGTAGGTGAAGTAGACTGGTAGGAGAGTAGGAGCAGCAGGTGAAGTAGACTGGTAGGAGAGTAGGAGCAGCAGGTGAAGTAGACTGGTAGGAGAGTAGAAACAGCAGGTGAAGTAGACTGGTAGGAGAGTAGGAGCAGCAGGTGAAGCAGACTGGTAGGAGAGTAGAAGCAGCAGGTAAAGCAGACTGGTAGGAGAGTAGGAGCAGCAGGTGAAGTAGACTGGTAGGAGAGCAGGAGCAGCAGGTGAAGTAGACTGGTAGCAGGTGAAGTAGACTGGTAGGAGAGTAGGAGCAGCAGGTGAAGTAGACTGGTAGGAGAGCAGGAGCAGCAGGTGAAGTAGACTGGTAGCAGGTGAAGTAGACTGGTAGGAGAGTAGAAGCAGCAGGTGAAGCAGACTGGTAGGAGAGTAGAAGCAGCAGGTGTGAAGTAGACTGGTAGGAGAGTAGAAACAGCAGGTGAAGTAGACTGGTAGGAGAGTAGGAGCAGCAGGTGAAGTAGACTGGTAGGAGAGTAGGAGCAGCAGGTGAAGTAGACTGGTAGGAGAGTAGAAGCAGCAGGTGAAGTAGACTGGTAGGAGAGTAGGAGCAGCAGGTGAAGTAGACTGGTAGGAGAGTAGAAGCAGCAGGTGAAGTAGGACTGGTAGGAGAGTAGGAGCAGCAGGTGAAGTAGACTGGTAGGAGAGTAGGAGCAGTAGGTGAGGTAGACTGGTAGGAGAGTAGAAACAGCAGGTGAAGTAGACTGGTAGGAGAGTAGGAGCAGCAGGTGAAGTAGACTGGTAGGAGAGTAGGAGCAGCAGGTGAAGTAGACTGGTAGGAGAGTAGAAGCAGCAGGTGAAGTAGACTGGTAGGAGAGTAGGAGCAGCAGGTGAAGTAGACTGGTAGGAGAGTAGGAGCAGCAGGTGAAGTAGACTGTAGGAGAGTAGGAGCAGCAGGTGAAGTAGACTGGTAGGAGAGTAGGAGCAGCAGGTGAAGTAGACTGGTAGGAGAGTAGAAGCAGCAGGTGAAGTAGACTGGTAGGAGAGTAGAAGCAGCAGGTGAAGTAGACTGGTAGGAGAGTAGGAGCAGCAGGTGAGGTACACTTGCCCAGTCGTCTCTCCGGCTGGCAGGAGAACCATTATTACACACAGATATAATAATGGTCCAGAGTGGACCGATATAATACCCAGTTATCATCTCTGTTTTGTTGGATAGTTGTGAATTGTTCCAACCAGGGTACTGTAATTGTTCCAACCAGGGTACTGTAATTGTTCCAACCAGGGTACTGTAATTGTTCCAACCAGGGTACTGTAATTGTTCCAACCAGGGTAACTGTTAATTGTTCCAACCAGGGTACTGTAATTGTTCCAACCAGGGTACTGTAATTGTTCCAACCAGGGTACTGTAATTGTTCCAACCAGGGTACTGTAATTGTTCCAACCAGGGTACTGTTAATTGTTCCAACCAGGGTACTGTAATTGTTCCAACCAGGGTACTGTAATTGTTCCAACCAGGGTACTGTAATTGTTCCAACCAGGGTACTGTAATTGTTCCAACCAGGGTACTGTAATTGTTCCAACCAGGGTACTGTAATTGTTCCAACCAGGGTACGTAATTGTTCCAACCAGGGTACTGTAATTTTTCCAACCAGGGTACTGTAATTGTTCCAACCAGGGTACTGTAATTGTTCCAACCAGGGTACTGTAATTGTTCCAACCAGGGTACTGTAATTGTTCCAACCAGGGTACTGTAATTGTTCCAACCAGGGTACTGGTAATTGTTCCAACCAGGGTACTGTAATTGTTCCAACCAGGGTACTGTAATTGTTCCAACCAGGGTACTGTAATTGTTCCAACCAGGGCACTGCAATTGTTCCAACCAGGGTACTGTAATTGTTCCAACCAGGGTACTGTAATTGTTCCAACCAGGGTACTGTAATTGTTCCAACCAGGGTGCTGTAATTGTTCCAACCAGGGTACTGTAATTGTTCCAACCAGGGTACTGTAATTGTTCCAACCAGGGTACTGTAATTGTTCCAACCAGGGTGCTGTAATTGTTCCAACCAGGGTACTGTAATTGTTCCAACCAGGGCACTGCAATTGTTCCAACCAGGGTACTGTAATTGTTCCAACCAGGGTACTGTAATTGTTCCAACCAGGGTGCTGTAATTGTTCCAACCAGGGTACTGTAATTGTTCCAACCAGGGTACTGTAATTGTTCCAACCAGGGTACTGTAATTGTTCCAAGCAGGGTACTGCAAGTGTTCCAACCATGGTACTGTAATTGTTCCAACTAGGATACTGCAATTGTTCCAACCATGGTACTGTAATTGTTCCAACCGTGGTACTGTAATTCTTCCAACCAGGATACTGTAATTGTTCCAAACAGGGCACTGCAATTGTTCCAACCATGGTACTGTAATTGTTCCAACTAGGATACTGTAATTGTTCCAACCATGGTACTGTAATTGTTCCAACTAGGATACTGTAATTGTTCCAACCATGGTACTGTAATTGTTCCAACCATGGTACTGTAATTGTTCCAACCATGGTACTGTAATTCTTCCAACCAGGGTACTGTAATTCTTCCAACCAGGATACTGTAATTGTTCCAAACAGGGCACTGCAATTGTTCCAACCATGGTACTGTAATTGTTCCAACCATGGTACTGTAATTCTTCCAATCAGGGTAATGTAATTCTTCCAAACATGGTACTTCCATTAAGAAAAAGAAATAAAAGATGTAAACTAGAAAGAGAGAGACGTTCCCTATACAGACGAAGGCGAAGAGTCACAGAGCTGCTGAGTGGGGTCAATATATCTGAAATACGAAGGGAAGAACTAGTCAATGAAATTGCAAATATCAAACTTAAGCTGAAGGAATCTTATAGGAGACAAGAATCACAGGAAGAACTAAAAGCCATAAAGGAAATCGAAAAAAAAAAATACATACTTCTCTTATGCCAAATCTGAGGGGAAAACAATATCCAGTCTTGGGCCCCTGCTTAGGCGTGATGGGACATACACAGATGATAACCAAGAAATGAGTGAAATACTAAAGTTCCAATATGACTCAGTGTTCAGTGATCCACTGCCCACTCTAAGGGTCGACAATCCAAATGAATTCTTTATGAACGAAACTCAAAATTTGGTCATCCCAAAACTCTCGGATATTATTATAACTCCACAAGATTTTGAAGAGGCAATTAATGACATGCACATGTACTCTGCCCCAGGCCCAGACTCGTGGAACTCCGTGTTCATCAAGAACTGCAAGAAGCCCCTATCACGTGCCTTCAGCATTTTATGGAGAGGGAACATGGACACAGGGGTCATCCCACACTCACTAAAAACAACAGACATAGCCCCACTCCACAAAGGTGGCAGTAAAGTAATTGCAAAGAACTACAGACCGATAGCACTAACATCCCATATAAAAATCTTTGAGAGGGTTCTAAGAAGCAAGATCGTCAACAACCTAGATACCCATCAGTTACACAACCCAGGGCAACACGGGTTTAGGGCAGGTCGCTCCTGTCTGTCCCAGCTACTGGACCACTATGACAGGTCCTGGATGCTGTAGAGGATAAGCAAAATACAGATGTAGTATACACAGACTTTGCAAAAGCTTTCGACAAGTGTGACCATGGTGTAATAGCGCACAAAATGCGGGATAAAGGAATAACAGGAAAAGTTGGTAGATGGATCTACAACTTCCTGACAAATAGAACACAAAGAGTAATAGTAAACAAAGTGAAGTCCCAGACAGCCACGGTGAAAAGTTCTGTTCCACAAGGCATAGTACTCGCTCCCATTCTATTCCTCATCCTCATTTCTGACATAGACAGAGATGTAAGCCCTAGCCCCGTGTCTTCCATTGTGGATGACACCCGGATTACCATGGCAGTGACCTCCATCGAAGACACCGCGAGACTCCAAGCGGACATCAACCAAATCTTCGAATGGGCCACTCAAAGCAATATGAAGTTCAACGAGGAGAAAGTTCAACTACTCAGATCTGAAAAACTTGAAGAAATTAAAAATGTGTCAGGTTATACCACAAATTCTAACCATACAATAGAGCGGAAAAGTAATGTGAAGGACCTGGGAGTGATAATGTCAGAGGATCTCGCCTTCAAAGACCACAACAATGTATGTACTTCATCCGCTAGGAAAATGATAAAATGGATAATGAGAACCTTCAAAACTAGGGACGCCAAGCCCATGATGACTCTCCAAATCGCTTGTGCCCTCTAGGCTGGAATACTGCTGTACACTAACGGCCCCCTTCAAGGCTGGCGACATTGCAGACCTGGACAGTGTACAAAGAACTTTCACGGCACACATAAGTACGATAAAGCACCTAAATTACTGGGAACGGTTGAAGGTCCTTGATCTGTATTCCCTGGAATGCAGGCGAGAGAGATACATGATAATATACACTTGGAAGGTCCTGGAAGGATTGGTACCAAATTTGCACACGAAAATCACACCATATGAAAGCAAAAGACTCGGCAGGAGATGCAACATTCCCCCGATGAAAAGCAGGGGCGCCACGAGTACACTGAGAGACAACACAAGTGTCAAGGGCCCAAGACTGTTCAATTGCCTCCCAGCATACATAAGGGGGATTACCAATAGACCCCTGACTGTTTTCAAGAAGGCACTAGACACGCACCTAAAGTCAGTACCTGACCAGCCGGGCTGTGATTCGTACGTCAGCTTGGGTGCGACCAGCAGTAACAGCCTGGTTGATCAGACCCTGATCCACCATTAGACATGGTCTCAGACTGGGCCGCGGGGGCGTTGACACCCAAAACCCTCTCCAGGTAAACTCAAGGTAAACTGTAATTGTTCCAACCAGGGTACTGTAATTGTTCCAACCAGGGTACTGTAATTGTTCCAACCATGGTACTGTAATTGTTCCAACCATGATACTGTATTTGTTCCATCCATGGTACTGTATTTGTTCCAACCATGGCACTGTAATTGTTTCAACCAGGGTACTGTAATTGTTCCAACCATGGTACTGTAATTGTTCCAACCATGATACTGTAATTGTTCCAACCATGGTACTGTAATTGTTCCAACCAGGGTACTGTAATTGTTTCAACCATGGTACTGTAATTGTTCCACCATGATACTGAAAATTGTTCCAACCATGGTACTGTAATTGTTCCAACCAGGGTACTGTAATTGTTTAAAACCTTTGGAAACTGTAATTGTTCCAACCAGGGTAACTGTATTTTTTTCCAACCATGGTTACTGTATTTGTTCCCAAAAACCATGGTACTGTATTTGTTCCAACCATGGTACTGTAATTTTTCCCCAACCCCATGGTACTGTATTTGTTCCAACCTTGGTTTACTGTATTTGTTCCAACCATGGTACTGTATTTGTTCCAACCATGGTACTGTAATTGTTCCAACCATGGTACTGTATTTGTTCCAACCATGGTACTGTATTTGTTCCAACCATGGTACTGTAATTGTTCCAACCACGGTACTGTAATTGTTCCAACCATGGTACTGTAATTGTTCCAACCATGATACTGTAATTGTTCCAACCATGGTACTGTATTTGTTCCAACCATGGTACTGTATTTGTTCCAACCATGGTATTGTATTTGTTCCAACCATGGTATTGTAATTGTTCCAACCAGGATACTGTAATTGTTCCAACCATGGTACTGTATTTGTTCCAACCATGGTACTGTATTTGTTCCAACCATGGTACTGTAATTGTTCCAACCAGGATACTGTAATTGTTCCAACCAGGGTACTGTAATTGTTCCAACCATGGTACTGTAATTGTTCCAACCATGGTACTGTATTTGTTCCAACCATGGTACTGTATTTGTTCCAACCATGGTACTGTATTTGTTCCAACCATCGTACTGTAATTGTTCCAACCAGGGTACTGTAATTGTTCCAACCAGGGTACTGTAATTGTTCCAACCATGGTAATGTGATTATTCCAACCAGGGTACTGTAATTGTTCCAACCATGGTAATGTAATTATTCCAACCAGGGTACTGTAATTGTTCCAACCATGGTAATGTAATTATTCCAACCAGGGTACTGTAATTGTTCCAATGATGGTACTGTAATTGTTCCAACCATGGCACTGCAATTGTTCCAACCAGGGTACTGTAATTGTTCCAACCAGGGTACTGTAATTGTTCCAACCATGGTAATTTAATTGTTCCAACCATGGTACTGTAATTGTTCCAACCAGGGTACTGTAATTGTTCCAACCATGGTACTGTAATTGTTCCAACCATGGTAATGTAATTATTCCAACCAGGGTACTGTAATTGTTCCAATGATGGTACTGTAATTGTTCCAACCATGGTACTGTAATTGTTCCCAAAACCCAGGGTACTGTAATTTTCCAACCATGGTAATTTAATTGTTCCAACCAGGGTACTGTAATTGTTCCAACCAGGGTACTGTAATTGTTCCAACCAGGGTACTGTAATTGTTCCAACCAGGGTACTGTAATTGTTCCAACCATGGTAATTTAATTGTTCCAACCAGGGTACTGTAATTGTTCCAACAATGGTAATTTAATTGTTCCAACAAGGGTACTGTAATTGTTCCAACCATGGTACTGTATTTGTTCCAACCATGGTACTGTAATTGTTCCAAACAGGGTACTGTAATTGTTCCAACCATGGTACTGTAATTGTTCCAACCATGGTAATGTAATTATTCCAACCAGGGTACTGTAATTGTTCCAACCAGGGTACTGTAATTGTTCCAACCAGGGTACTGTAATTGTTCCAACCAGGGTACTGTAATTGTTCCAACCAGGGTACTGTAATTGTTCCAACCAGGGTACTGTAATTGTTCCAACCAGGGTACTGTAATTGTTCCAACCATGGTACTGTAATTGTTCCAACCATGGTTATGTAATTATTCCAACCAGGGTACTGTAATTGTTCCAACCAGGGTACTGTAATTGTTCCAACCACGGTACTGTAATTGTTCCACCCAGGGTACTATAATTGTTCCAACCAGGTTACTGTAATTGTTCCAACCAGGGTACTGTAATTGTTCCAACCAGGGTACTGTAATTGTTCCAACCAGGAAACTGTAATTGTTCCAACCAGGGTACTGTAATTGTTCCAACCAGGGTACTGTAATTGTTCCAACCAGGGTACTGTAATTGTTCCAACCAGGGTACTATAATTACAGTCACAAGCGTTGTTACTTACCCAGTATTTGACAGGTTCCATGTCCGGCAGAGCGACTTCTCCCCAGCCGATGATTTTGACTGAGTGTGAGGCCGTCTCCTGCCCAGCGAGTCCAGAGTAAGAGTACACTCCACTCTTGTACATGAACAAGTCACTGTGTACTTCCATCATGGCTGCGAGTGTACAACTTATTATTAACACTTACCATCAGTGTTAAATATTCTAATAATATTATCACATCATTCTACCTTCTTAATACATCTCATGACTGTCACATCATCCTACCATCACAATACATCTCATGACAGTCACATCATTCTACCATCAAAATACATCTCATGACAGTCACATCATTTTCCACATAATACATCTCATGACTGTCACATCATTTCTACCATCATAATTTCATCTCTAACAGTCACATCATCCTACAATCACAATACATCTCATGACTGTCACATCATTCTACCATCATAATACATCTCATAACAGTCACATCATCCTACCATCACAATACATCTCATGACTGTCACATCATTCTACCATCACAATACATCTCATGACAGTCACATCATCCTACCATCACAATACATCTCATGACAGTCACATCATTCTACCATCATAATACATCTCAAGACAGTCACATCATTCTACCATCACAATACATCTCATGACTGTCACATCATTCTACCATCACAAAACATCTCATGACTGTCACATCATCCTACCATCACAATACATCTAATGACTGTCACATCATTCTACCTTCACAATACATCTCATGACAGTCACATCATCCTACCATCACAATACATCTCATGACAGTCACATCATTCTACCATCATAATACATCTCATGACAGTCACATCATTCTACCATCACAATACATCTCATGACAGTCACATCATTCTACCATCACAAAACATCTCATGACTGTCACATCATCCTACCCTCACAATTTCATCTCATGACAGTCACATTTATTCTACCATCACAATACTCTCATGACAGTCAAAATCATTCTACCATCACAATACATCTCATGACAGTCACATCATTCTACCATCACAATACATCTCATGACTGTCACATCATTCTACCATCACAAAACATCTCATGACTGTCACATCATTCTACCATCACAAACATCTCATGACTGTCACATCATTCTACCATCACAATACATCTCATGACTGTCACATCATTTACCATCACAATACATTCATGGGCAGTCACATCATTCTACCATCATAATACATCTCATGACTGTCACATCATTCTACCATCATAATACATCTCATGACAGTAAACATCATTCTCCCATCACAATACATACCATGACTGTCACAATCATTTCTACCATCATAATACATCTCATGACAGTCACATCATTCTACCATCATAATACATCTCATGAAAGTCACATCATCCTACCATCATAATACATCTCATGACAGTCACATCATTCTACAATCATAATACATCTCATGACAGTCACATCATTCTACCATCACAATACATCTCATGACTGTCACATCATTCTACCATCATAATACATCGCATGACTGTCACATCATTCTACCATCATAATACATCTCAGGGACTGGTCACATCATTCTACATCACAATACATCTCATGACAGTCACATCATTCTACCATCATAATACATCTCATAAACTGTCACATCATTCTACCATCACAATACATCTCATGACTGTGACATCATTCTACCATCTTTAATTTACATCTCATGACAGTCACATCATCCTACCATCATAATACATCTAAAGGGACTGTCACATCATTCTACGATCATAATAATCTCATGACAGTCACATCATCCTCCCAAATATAATACATCTCATGACTGTCACATCATTCTACCATCATAATACTCTCAGGGACTGCACATCATTCTACCATCATAATACATCTCATGACAGTCACATCATTCTACCATCATAATTACATCTCATGACTGTCACACCCATTCTAACATCACAAACATCTCATGACAGTCACATCATTCAAACCATCATAATACATCTCATGACAGTCACATCATTCAAACCATCACAAAACATTCATGACTGTGAAAATCATTCTACCATCACAAAACATCTCATGACTGTCACATCATTCTACCATCACAAAACATCTCATGACAGTCACATCATTCTACCATCATAATACATCTCATGACTGTAAACATCATTCTACCACATAATACATCTCATGACTGTCACATCATTCTACCATCACAAAAATACATCTCATGACAGTCACATCATTCTACCATCAAAATACATCTCATGACTGTCACATCATTCTACCATCACAATACATCTCATGACAATCACATCATTCTACCAAGAAAATACCTCTCATGACAGTCACATCATTCTACCATCACAATACATCTCATGACAATCACATCATTCTACCAAGAAAATACATCTCATGACAGTCACATCATTCTACCATCACAATACATCTCATGACAGTCACATCATTCTACCATCATAATACATCTCATGACTGTCACATCATTCTACCATCACAATACATCTCATGACAGTCACATCATTCTACCATCACAATACATCTCATGACAGTCACATCATTCTACCATCATAATACATCTCATGACAGTCACATCATTCTACCATCATAATACATCTCATGACAGTCACATCATTCTACCATCATAATACATCTCATGACTGTCACATCATCCTACCATCACAATACATCTCATATAAATTCTATTAAAATTTCGACCTTCGTAGAATGTTGTTGTGAAGGTAGTGTGTTAGTGTAGCAGGTGTACAACAGTAGTGTAAAACTTGCCTCTGGCAACACAGTGAAGCACTGAATAATGGTGAAAGTTTTTCTTTTTCTGCTCACCGTGCCTTGCATATATTTGTACGCTCGTGTGTGTATGTCCGTGCGTACGCCCTCGTGTGTGTATGTGTGTGCGCGCGCGCGCTAGTGTGGGTGTATGATCCACTTAATATTTGCATTTATAACTCATTACAGTTGTGACCAGGTGTGGACGTATCAGTGGTTCATTACTTTGTAATTTGTTCATGACTGTAACCATGTATAGGAGTGAAGCTGATTCATTACCTCTGTAACTTGCCATGATTGTGACCAGATCTACCTGGAGTTCATTACCTCTGTAACTTGCCATGATTGTGACCAGATCTACCTGGAGTTCATTACCTTTGTAACTTGCCATGATTGTGACCAGATCTACCTGGAGTTCATTACCTTTGTAACTTGTCATGATTGTGACCAGATCTACCTGGAGTTCATTACCTTTGTAACTTGTCATGATTGTGACCAGATCTACCTGGAGTTCATTACCTTTGTAACTTGTCATGATTGTGACCAGATCTACTTGGAGTTAATTACCTTTGTAACTTGTCATGATTGTGACCAAATCTACCTGGAGTTCATTGCCTCTGTAACTTGCCATGATTGTGACCAGATCTACCTGGAGTTCATTACCTCTGTAACTAGTTCAGCTATCATAACTTTGGGGTCCAGTCCCTGGACCCATTATGTACCTTTGTAACCTTTTGACTACCGCCCACAGGATGGGTATGGGGTGCATAATAAACATATTAAACTAACTAACTGATCACTAGGGTTCTCACCTTGGTGGGAAGCGGCCGATATGTTAATAAAACAATATAAAAATAATTTAATTTTATATAATTTTGGGATAAAATTGGCAAATTTGAGCCTATACGTCCCACGTTTAATAGAAATATAATTGTCATGACAATACGTCAGCGTTTAGTGTTTTAGGCTGACCAGAGTAAGAGTTGTATAGGCCTAACACACGAACCAATTAATTAAAATATGCAGAATCTCAGTCAACATGACTTAGAATTACAACCAAATTTTCCTCGACTACAGTTCACCCACACTAAAAGTTTGAAGCCTAGCGGAAGGGGCATTCATTATTAATTTCTCTGAATCTAACGATTCTAAAGTTTGGTAAACATTGTCAGAAAATTTAAAATTTGCGCCTACGCAGGTTAAATAAACTTATAGATCCCCAGTCTTCCATGTTAATGGGCACGTAAGGTCCCCAGTCTTCCATGTTAATGTGCACGTAAGTTCCCCAGTCTTCCATGTTAATGGGCACGTAAGGTCCCCAGTCTTCCATGTTAATGTGCACGTAAGTTCCCCAGTCTTCCATGTTAATGGGCACGTAAGTTCCCCAGTCTTCCATGTTAATGGGCACGTAAGTTCCCCAGTCTTCCATGTTAATGTGCACGTAAGTTCCCCAGTCTCCATGTTAAGGGCACGTAAGGTCCCCTTTTTCCATTTTAAAATGTGCACGAAAAGTTCCCCAGTCTTCCAAATGTTAATGGGCACGTAAGATCCCCAGTCTTCCATGTTAATGTGCACTAAGTTCCCCCAGTCTTCCATGTTAATGTGCAGTAAGTTCCCCAGTCTTCCATGTTAATGGGCACGAAAGGGTTCCCCAGTCTTCCATGTTAATGGGCACGTAAGTTCCCCAGTCTTCCATGTTAATGGGCACGTAAGTTCCCCAGTCTTCCATGTTAATGTGCACGTAAGTTCCCCAGTCTTACATGTTAATGGGCACGTAAGGTCCCCAGTTTTCCATGTTAATGGACACGTAAGGTCCCCAGTCTTCCATGTTAATGGGCACGTAAGTTCCCCAGTTTCCATGTTAATGTGCACGTAAGTTCCCAGTCTTCCAGTTAATGTGCACGTAAGTTCCCCAGTCTTCCATGTTAATGTGCACGTAAGTTCCCCAGTCTTCCATGTTAATGTGCACGTAAGTTCCCCAGTCTTCCATGTTAATGGGCACGTAAGTTCCCCAGTCTTCCATGTTAATGGGCACGTAAGTTCCCCAGTCTTCCATGTTAATGGCACGTAAGTTCCCAGTCTTCCATGTTAATGGGCACGTAAGTTCCCCAGTCTTCCATGTTAATGGGCACGTAAGTTTCCTCAGTCTTCCATGTTAATGGGCACGTAAGTTCCCCAGTCTTCCATGTTAATGGCACGTAAGTTCCCAGTCTTCCATGTTAATGGGCACGTAAGTTTCCCCAGTCTTCCATGTTAATGGGCACGTAAGTTCCCCAGTCTTCCATGTTAATGGGCACGTAAGTTCCCCAGTCTTCCATGTTAATGGGCACGTAAGTTCCCCAGTCTTCCATGTTAATGGGCACGTAAGTTCCCCAGTCTTCCATGTTAATGGCACGTAAGTTTCCAGTCCTCCATGTTAATGGGCACGTAAGTTCCCAGTCTTCCATGTTAATGGGCACGTAAGTTCCCCAGTCTTCCATGTTATGGGCACGTAAGTTCCCCAGTCTTCCATGTTAATGGGCACGTAAGTTCCCCAGTCTTCCATGTTAATGGGCACGTAGTTCCCCAGTCTTCCATGTTAATGGCACGTAAGTTCCCCAGTCTTCCATGTTAATGTGGCACGTAAGTTCCCCAGTCTCCATGTTAATGGGCACGTAAGTTCCCCAGTCTTCCATGTTAATGGGCACGTAAGTTCCCCAGTCATTCCATGTTAATGTGCACGTAAGTTCCCCAGTCTCCATGTTAATGGGCACGTAAGTTCCCCAGTCTTCCATGTTATTGGGCACGTAAGTTCCCCAGTCTTCCATGTTAAATGGGCACGTAATTCCCCAGTCTCCATGTTAATGTGCACGTAGTTCCCCAGTCTCCATGTTAATGGGCACGTAAGTTCCCCAGTCTTCCATGTTAATGGGCACGTAAGTTCCCCAGTCTTCCATGTTAATGGGCACGTAAGTTCCCCAGTCTTCCATGTTAATGGGACATAAGTTCCCCAGTCTTCCATGTTAATGGGCACGTAAGTTCCCAGTCTTCCATGTTAATGGGCACGTAGTTCCCCAGTCTTCCATGTTAATGGGCACGTAAGTCCCCATCTTCCATGTTAATGGGCACGTAAGTTCCCCAGTCGTACTTGTTTATTGGCATGTAAGTTCCCCAGTCTTCCATGTTAATGGGCACGTAAGTTCCCCAGTCTTCCATGTTAATGGGCACGTAAGTTCCCCAGTCATCCATGTTAATGGGCACGTAAGTTCCCCAGTCATCCATGTTAATGGGCACGTAAGTTCCCCAGTCTTCCATGTTAATGGGCACGTAAGTTCCCCAGTCATCCATGTTAATGGGCACGTAGTTCCCCGGCCATCCATGTTAAATGGGCACCTAAGTTCCCATCTTCCATGTTAATGGGCACGTAAGTTCCCCAGTCTTCCATGTTAATGGGCACGTAAGTTTCCCCAGTCTTCATGTTAATGGCACGTAAGTTCCCCAGTCTTCCATGTTAATGTGCACGTAAGTTCCCCAGTCTTCCATGTTAATGGGCACGTAAGTTCCCCAGTCTTCCATGTTAATGGGCACGTAAGTTCCCCAGTCTCCATGTTAATGGGCACGTAAGTTCCCCAGTCTTCCATGTTAATGGGCACGTAAGTTCCCCAGTCTTCCATGTTAATGGGCACGTAAGTTCCCCAGTCTTCCATGTTAATGGGCACGTAAGTTCCCAGTCTTCCATGTTAATGGGCACGTAAGTTCCCCAGTCTTCCATGTTAATGGGCACGTAAGTTCCCAGTCATTCCATGTTAATGGGCAGTAAGTTCCACAGTCTTCCATGTTAATGGGCACGTAAGTCCCAGTCTTCCATGTTAATGGGCACCGTAAGTTCCCCAGTCTTCCATGTTAAGGGCACGTAAGTTCCCAGTCTTCCATGTTAATGGGCACGTAAGTTCCCCAGTCTTCCATGTTAATGGGCACGTAAGTTCCCCAGTCTTCCATGTTAATGGCACGTAAGTTCCCCAGTCTTCCATGTTAATGGGCACGTAAGTTCCCCAGTCTTCCATTTAATGGGCACCTAAGTTCCCCGAGTCTTCCATGTTAATGGGCACGTAGTTCCCCAGTTACATGTTAATGGGCACGTAAGTTCCCCAGTCTTCCATGTTAATGGGCACGTAAGTTTCCCAGTCTTCCATGTTAATGGGCACGTAAGTTCCCAGTCTTCCATGTTAATGGGCACGTAAGTTCCCAGTCTTCCATGTTAATGGGCACGTAAGTTCCCAGTCTTCCATGTTTAATGGGCACGTAAGTTCCCCAGTCTTCCATGTTAATGGGCACGTAAGTTCCCAGTCTTCCATGTTAATGGGCACGTAAGTTCCCAGTCTTCCATGTTAATGGGCACGTAAGTTCCCCAGTCTTCCATGTTAATGGGCACGTAAGTTCCCCAGTCTTCCATGTTAATGGGCACGTAAGTTCCCCAGTCTTCCATGTTAATGGGCACGTAAGTTCCCCAGTCTTCCATGTTAATGGGCACGTAAGTTCCCCAGTCTTCCATGTTAATGGGCACCTAAGTTCCCCAGTCTTCCATGTTAATGGGCACGTAAGTTCCCCAGTCTTCCACGTTAATGGACACGTAAGTTCCCCAGTCTTCCATGTTAATGGGCACGTAAGTTCCCCAGTCTTCCATGTTAATGGGCACGTAAGTTCCCCAGTCTTCCATGTTATTGGGCACCTAAGTTCCCCAGTCACCCATGTTAATGGGCACGTAAGTTCCCCAGTCTTCCATGTTATTGGGCACCTAAGTTCCACAGTCACCCATGTTAATGGGCACGTAAGTTCCACAGTCACCCATGTTAATGGGCACGTAAGTTCCCCAGTCTTCAATGTTATTGGGCACGTAAGTTCCCCAGTCTCCATGTTATGGGCACGTAATTCCCCAGTCATCCCATGGTTAAATGGGCACGTAAGATTTCCCCAGTCTCCATGTTAATGGGCACGTAAGTTCCCCAGTCGTCCTGTTAATTGGCACGTAAGTTCCCCAGTCTTCCATGTTAATGGGCACGTAAGTTCCCCAGTCTTCCATGTTAATGGGCACGTAAGTTCCCCAGTCTTCCATGTTAATGGGCACGTAAGTTCCCAGTCTTCCATGTTAATGGGCACGTAAGTTCCCCAGTCTTCCATGTTAATGGGCACGTAAGTTCCCCAGTCTTCCATGTTAATGGGCACGTAAGTTCCCCAGTCTCTTGTTTAATGGGCACGTAAGTTCCCCAGTCTTCCATGTTAATGGGCACGTAAGTTCCCCAGTCTTCCATGTTAATGGCACGTAAGTTCCCCAGTCTCCATGTTAATGGGCACGTAAGTTCCCCAGTTTTCCATGTTAATGGGCACGTAACTTCCCCAGTCTCATCCATGTTAATGGCACGTAAGTTCCCCAGTCATCCATGTTAATGGGCACGTAAGTTCCCCATCATCCATGTTAATGGGCACGTAGTTCCCCGCTTCCATGTTAATGGGCACGTAAGTCCCAGACTTGTTAATGGCATGTAAGTTCCCAGTCATCCATGTAATGGGCACGTAAGTTCCCAGTCACTATGTTAATGGGCACGTAAGTTCCCAGTCTTCCATGTTAATGGGCACGTAAGTTCCCCATTCATCCATGTTAATGGGCAGTAAGTTCCCCAGTCTTCCATGTTAATGGGCACGTAAGTTCCCCAGTCATCATGTAATGGGCACGTAAGTTTCCAGTCTTCCATGTTAATGGGCACGTAATTCCCCAGTCTTCCATGTTAATGGGCACGTAAGTTCCCCAGTCTTCCATGTTAATGGGCACGTAAGTTCCCCAGTCATCCATGTTAATGGGCACGTAAGTTCCCCAGTCATCCATGTTAATGGCACGTAATTCCCCAGTCATCCATGTTAATGCGCACGTAATTCCCCAGTCTTCCATGTTAATGGGCACGTGAGTTCCCCAGTCTCCATGTTAATGGGCACGTAGTTCCCGCTCCATGTTAATGGGCACGTAAGTTCCCCAGTCTTCCATGTTAATGGGCACGTAAGTTCCCTCAGTCATCCATGTCAATGAGCACGTAAATTTCCCAGTCTTTCATGTTAATGGGCACGTAAGTTCCCCAGTCTTCCATGTTAATGGGCACGTAAGTTTCCCAGTCTTCCATGTTAATGGGCACGTAAGTTTCCCAGTCTTCCATGTTAATGGGCACGTAAGTTCCCCAGTCTTCCATGTTAATGGGCACGTAAGTTCCCAGTCTTCCATGTTAATGGCACGTAATTCCCCAGTCTTCCATGTTAATGGGCACTAAGTTCCCCAGTCTTCCATGTTAATGGACACGTAAGTTTCCCCAGTCTTCCATGTTAATGGGCACGTAAGTTCCCCAGTCTTCCATGTTAATGGGCCACCTAAGTTCCCAGTCATCATGTTAATGCGCACGTAAATTCCCCAGTCTTCCATGTTAATGGGCACGTAAGTTCCCAGTCTTCCATGTTAATGGGCACCTAAGTTCCCGATCTTCCTGTTAATGGGCACTAAGTTCCCCAGTCTTCCATGTAATGGGCACGTAAGTTCCCCAGTCTTCCATGTTAATGGGCACGTAAGTTCCCCTTCAGTCTTTCCACTTAGTTAATGGGCACGTAAGTTCCCCAGTCTTCCATGTTAATGGGCACGTAAGTTCCCCAGTCTTCCATGTTAATGGGCACGTAAGTTCCCCAGTCTTCCATGTTAATGGGCACATAAGTTCCCCAGTCTTCCATGTTAATGGGCACGTAAGATCCCCAGTCTTCCATGTTAATGGGCACGTAAGTTCCCCAGTCTTCCATGTTAATGGGCACGTAAGTTCCCCAGTCATCCATGTTAATGCGCACGTAAATTCCCCAGTCTTCCATGTTAATGGGCACGTAAGTTCCCCAGTCTTCCATGTTAATGGGCACGTAAGTTCCCCAGTCTTCCATGTTAATGGGCACGTAAGTTCCCAGTCTCTAATATCATGTTTATTTTTCCACTATAATCTACCTTGTCTATATTTAATTTATTTCGTAAGGTGAAGTCCAGGATCTTTACTTAATTTATTGTATAACTTAATAAATTGTTGTTGTACAGGTGTATCCATATTTTAGGTATTAAAGTGTTCTTATCCTCTAGTGACAGGATTTTGTGCAGGATTCTCGACCCTAGTTCAGTCGATAGCATTTAACCCCCCAGTAACCAACCAATAACATACAAACCTATATGTTCCTGAACTAGATGTGTTTATTAGATGGATCTATAAGCTCTTGTGACGGCATAAATAATTGTTAAGAGAGTCACCTTGTACTGGTCCATTAGTGAGTATCTCCCACTGGATGTCCTCCTCCTTGCTGGAGATGCGGTACGCTGGCTCACTCTTGTACTGGTACTTGTGCTGTAATAACAAGACACACATAGAAATTACCTGCCCAAACATATATATGTCAGCTGTTTGAGTAATGACTTGAATACCTTAAAATAGAAGTTCATTTTATATTACCAGAAATTCAGTGAGTCGTCTCCAGCTGCCTGGACGCTGTAACAAGTCTCGACTCGAAAGATTTTGACTTACTCTTCCCCCGCCATGGATATTTATTTTCCTATGCATTGTGTGGAGCTTGCAGGTGTATATTATTTTCGTGGCTTTTCAAAAATTTTAGTCTATACACAACAATTATGAATATTTTCATTCTGTGCCATCATGTTCATTCCATCACATTTCCTGCCTTCATGGTTCCCTACCTACAAGTGCCCCATATCGACCTGACACTATCACGCCGTCATGGTCAAACCATCTTTGGTAAACCCCTTTCAGTTATTTTAATCATATTAGAAAATAAGTCACAGAACTTTAGTGAGGTAATGTGTAAAGTTAGTGGTTATGTTGATGGTTAGTGAGAGAGCAAAATAAATATTAAAGTTAACGCAATAGGTTAATTTGTGATAAAATCCCAGAGAGACTGCGTTAAGGTGGAGCTTTCACTAATTACTTCTGGCCAGTGTTTGTGTCCACCTGCCCAGCTTGCCTCACACTCAAGGTTGGAGGTATCTGTGGAAAATTTTTAATTTTCCGAAACTATAGTGCCTAATAGGTGTTTAATGTGTCGATATGAGTTAAAAATGTATTTGAAAATAGGATAGAACCAGGAGTTCCCTTGGCGCATGCGCAGATGTGCGGGGGAGAGGTCGAGCTGGGGCACGAGGAGGCAGGAGTGTTTTGAATGTAGTGAGGAGGCTGTGAAAACATGGGATCAGGAAATTGGCGTTCACGGCGGCCTAAGGATTAATATAGGCCTCACTTCATAATAGGAAGTGTCGTAACTGTTCCTGGTGAAGAGTGAGGGAACGTGATTTACGGAACCACCGTAAAAACGTGGTAAAATTAGTGAATAATGGTTCGACCGGGTGTGACTGGTGCGCGGCCATGGTGTGTGTCCAGGGGAAATACCCGTGAGTTAATCCTCACTCATCGGCCTCAGATCTTAATGGAGTGACCTCTAATGTGTATAATAATTATGAGACGTTAAATCGTCTTGTGAATGGTAATGTAATCAGTGATAATAACATTAAGTTAAGAGAATGCGGGATGTGAAATAGATCGCCCTGCTCCGAGTGAACGCGTGATTCTCGTACCGAGGATAGTGAAGTTTTATGGAATCACGACTTCTAAACCGGGACAAACCAACGGATACCTCGTCCTGCTGGAATAAGAACCGTGTCGGTGTAGCGGGACATCGAAATGAGATGGTGAATGGAGGAAATAAGGAGCATCAATCACCCCCAGTTAAGTAACCCTTCTAGTTATAACAGACTGATACTGGCCAGTTAGGTATGTTTTAATTGGATGGGTTATGGGTGATCCAGCCACATCAAGTGACCACCAGAGAATATCTGGTAAGTGGTGGGATTATGTACAAATGTTTTTTCCTTGATGGATGTATCCATGTGTAACTTACCCCCCCCCCTTCATTCAGTTAAACTAATATAATCTATACAGTCCACAATTAATTAGTAGCGCCGTGCTTGAGGGTGATACCCAATCCATACTGGTCTCGGATAGATATGGATAAGATTGTGAGGTCGAAGGGACCACCTGCCGTGACCAGGGGTGGTTAAGTTTTCTCACATGTCTACACGGGGTGACTACGGTAAACAATATGGTTGTCTCCCAATGAGATTACTTGTATGTATGTAATGTTGAGGTACATACAGGTAATCACCCCTAGAAAATTTTCCATAGTATCTATGTGTCCACCTGCCCAGCTTGCCTCACACTCAAGGTTGGAGGTATCTTTGTGTTAACCTGCCCAGCTTGCCTCACACTCAAGGTTGGAGTTATCTATGTGCCCACCTACCCAGGTTACCTCACACTCAAGGTTGGAGGTATCTATGTGTCCACCTACCCAGGTTACCTCACACTCAAGGTTGGAGGTATCTTGTGTCCACCTGCCCAGGTTATCTCACACTCAAGGTTGGAGGTATCTTTGTGTCCACCTACCCAAGTTACTCACATCAAGGTTGGAGGTATCTTTGTGTCCATCTGCAGGTACCTCACACTCAAGGTTGGAGGTATCTTATGTGTCCACCTACCAGTTACTCACACTCAGGGTTGGAGGTATCTTTGGGGTCCATCTGCCAGGTTACCTCACACTCAAGGTTGGAGGTATCTTTGTGTCCACCTCCCAGGTTACTCACACTCAAGGTTGGAGGTTATACTTTGTGTCCACCTACCAGGTTACCTCACACTCAAGGCTGGAGGTTCTTTGTGTCCACCTCCGAGGTTACTCACACTCAAGGTTGGAGGTATCTTTGGTCCATCTCAAGGTACCTCATATCAAGGTTGGAGGTATCTTTGTGTCCACCTACCCAGGTTACCTCACACTCAGGGTTGGAGGTATCTTTGCGTCCATCTGCAAAGGCTACCTCATACTCAAGGTTGGAGGTATCTTCGTGTCCACCTGCCCAGGTTACCTCACACTCAAGGTTGGAGGTATCTTTGTGTCCACCTGCCAGGTTACCTCAACTCAAGGTTGGAGGTATCTTGTGTCCACCTGCCCAGGTTACCTCACACTCAAGGTTGGAGGTATCTTTGTGTCCACCTGCCCAGGTTACCTCACACTCAAGGTTGGAGGTATCTTTGTGTCCACCTACCCAGGTTACCTCACACTCAAGGTTGGAGGTATCTTTGTGTCCACCTGCCCAGGTTACCTCACACTCAAGGTTGGAGGTATCTGTGTGTCCACCTACCCAGGTTACCTCACACTCAAGGTTGGAGGTATCTTTGTGTCCACCTCCCAGGTTACCTCACACTCAAGGTTGGAGGTATCTTGTGTCCACCTACCCAGGTTACCTCACACTCAAGGTTGGAGGTATCTTTGTGTCCACCTGCCCAGGTTATCTCACACTCAAGGTTGGAGGTATCTTTGTGTCCACCTACCCAGGTTACCTCACACTCAAGGTTGGAGGTATCTTTGTGTCCACCTACCCAGGTTACCTCACACTCAAGGTTGGAGGTATCTTTGTGTCCACCTACCCAGGTTATCTCACACTCAAGGTTGGAGGTATCTTTGTGTCCACCTGCCCAGGTTACCTCACACTCAAGGTTGGAGGTATCTTTGTGTCCACCTACCCAGGTTACCTCACACTCAAGGTTGGAGGTTCTTTGTGTCCACCTACCCAGGTTACCTCACACTCAAGGTTGGAGGTATCTTTGCGTCCATCTGCAAAGGCTACCTCATACTCAAGGTTGGAGGTATCTTTGTGTCCACCTACCCAGGTTACCTCACACTCAAGGTTGGAGGTATCTTTGCGTCCATCTGCAAAGGCTACCTCATACTCAAGGTTGGAGGTATCTTCGTGTCCACCTGCCCAGGTTACCTCACACTCAAGGTTGGAGGTATCTTTGTGTCCACCTGCCGAGGTTATCTCACACTCAAGGTTGGAGGTATCTTTGTGTCCACCTGCCCAGGTTACCTCACACTCAAGGTTGGAGGTATCTATGTGTCCACCTACCCAGGTTACCTCACACTCAAGGTTGGAGGTATCTTTGTGTCCACCTACCCAGGTTACCTCACACTCAAGGTTGGAGGTATCTTTGTGTCCACCTGCCCAGGTTACCTCACACTCAAGGTTGGAGGTATCTATGTGTCCACCTACCCAGGTTACCTCACACTCAAGGTTGGAGGTATCTTTGTGTCCACCTGCCCAGGTTACCTCACACTCAAGGTTGGAGGTATCTATGTGTCCACCTACCCAGGTTACCTCACACTCAAGGTTGGAGGTATCTTTGTGTCCACCTACCCAGGTTACCTCACACTCAAGGTTGGAGGTATCTTTGTGTCCACCTACCCAGGTTATCTCACACTCAAGGTTGGAGGTATCTTTGTGTCCACCTGCCCAGGTTACCTCACACTCAAGGTTGGGGGTATCTATGTGTCCACCTACCCAGGTTACCTCACACTCAAGGTTGGAGGTATCTTTGTGTCCAACTACCCAGGTTACCTCACACTCAAGGTTGGAGGTATCTTTGTGTCCACCTGCCCAAGTTACCTCACACTCAAGGTTGGAGGTATCTTGTGTCCACTACCCAGGTTACCTCACACTCAAGGTTGGAGGTATCTTTGTGTCCATCTACCCAGGTTACCTCACACTCAATGGATTGGAGGTTATCTTTGTGGTCATCTACCCAGGTTACCTCACACTCAAGGTTGGAGGTATCTTTGTGTCCACCTACCCAGGTTACCTCACACTCAAGGTTGGAGGTATCTATGTGTCCACCTACCCAGGTTACCTCACACTCAAGGTTGGAGGTATCTTTGTGTCACACCTACCTCCAGGTTAGTATCTCTCACAGTTCTCATAGATTGGAGGTATCTTTGTGTCCACCTGCCCAAGTTACCTCACACTCAAGGTTGGAGGTATCTTTGTGTCCACCTGCCCAAGTTACCTCACACTCAAGGTTGGAGGTATCTTTGTGTCCACCTGCCGAGGTTATCTCACACTCAAGGTTGGAGGTATCTTTGTGTCCACCTGCCGAGGTTATCTCACACTCAAGGTTGGAGGTATCTTTGTGTCCACCTGCCCAGGTTACCTCACACTCAAGGTTGGAGATATCTTTGTGTCCACCTGCCCAGCTTACCTCACACTCAAGGTTGGAGATATCTTTGTGTCCACCTGCCCAGCTTACCTCACACTCAAGGTTGGAGATATCTTTGTGTCCACCTGCCCAGCTTACCTCACACTCAAGGTTGGAGGTATCTTTGTTTCCACCTGCCCAGCTTACCTCACACTCAAGGTTGGAGGTATCTTTGCCATGGATGCGACACTTCGGCACCTTCCCCGAGGCGCCGCTCTCATACTGGTAACACTCCTCCAGTACCACTCTGAAAACCACAATACATAAAATATATTTTTATTCCTCTAAACATTTGTTCATTATTATGTGTCGTAAACACTGGTCAGTGGAAAAGCAAATATCACATAGATGGAAAGCAGAACTCAACAAATTCTTATATGAACCAAATCTACGTGAGTGGAGACAAGTGGCTTTCAAGAGTGGATGTGCTGTTGGAGTGTGACAAGGGTAAAAATTTGAGAGAATTTTAGGATTTTTGCTTAACAGCAAATTCGGGTTACTGGACCGGAACGTTCTTGTGAACCTTGCTTCTGTGTGTGAGGAAGCCTGCTTGACTGTGTGTGTGAGTAAGCCTGCTTGGCTGTGTGTGTGAGTAAGCCTGCTTGACTGTGTGCGTGAATAAGCCTGCTTGACTGTGTGTGTGAGTAAGCCTGCTTGACTGTGCGTGTGAATAAGCCTGCTTGACTGTGTGTGTGAGTAAGCCTGCTTGACTGTGTGTGTGAGTAAGCCTGCTTGACTGTGTGTGTGAGTAAGCCTGCTTGACTGTGTGTGAGTAAGCCTGCTTGACTGTGTGTGAGTAAGCCTGCTTGACTGTGTGTGTGAGTAAGCCTGCTTGACTGCGTGTGTGAGTAAGCCTGCTTGACTGTGTGTGTGAGTAAGCCTGCTTGACTGTGTGTGGGTAAGCCTGCTTGACTGTGTGTGAGTAAGCCTGCCTGACTGCATGTGAGTAAGCCTGCTTGACTGTGTGTGTGAGTAAGCCTGCTTGACTGTGTGTGTGAGTTAGCCTGCTTGACTGTGTGTGGGTAAGCCTGCTTGACTGTGTGTGAGTAAGGCTGCCTGACTGCATGTGAGTAAGCCTGCTTGACTGTGTGTGTGAGTAAGCCTGCTTGACTGTGTGTGAGTAAGCCTGCTTGACTGTGTGTGTGTGAGTAAGCCTGCTTGACTGTGTGTGTGTGAGTAAGCCTGCTTGACTGTGTGTGTGAGTAAGCCTGCTTGACTGTGTGTGAGTAAGACTGCTTGACTGTGTGTGAGTTAGCCTGCCTGACTGCGTGTGAGTAAGCCTGCTTGACTGTGTGTGTGAGTAAGCCTGCTTGACTGTGTGTGTGAGTAAGCCTGCTTGACTGTGTGTGAGTAAGCCTGCTTGACTGTGTGTGAGTAAGCCTGCTTGACTGTGTGTGAGTAAGCCTGCTTGACTGTGTGTGAGTAAGCCTGCTTGACTGTGTGTGGGTAAGCCTGCTTGACTGTGTGTGAGTAAGCCTGCTTGGCTGTGTGTGTGAGTAAGCCTGCTTGACTGTGTGTGTGTGAGTAAGCCTGCTTGACTGTGTGTGTGAGTAAGCCTGCTTGACTGTGTGTGTGAGTAAGCCTGCTTCACTGTGTGTGGGTAAGCCTGCTTGACTGTGTGTGAGTAAGCCTGTTTGACTGTGTGTGTGAGTAAGCCTGCTTGACTGTGTGTGTGAGTAAGCCTGCTTGACTGTGTGTGAGTAAGCCTGCTTGACTGTGTGTTTGTAAGCCTGCTTGACTGTGTATGAGTAAACCTGCTTGACTGTGTGTGTGAGTAAGCCTGCTTGACTGTGTGTGAGTAAGCCTGCTTGACTGTGTGTGTGAGTAAGCCTGCTTGACTGTGTGTGAGTAAGCCTGCTTGACTGTGTGTGAGTAAGCCTGCTTGACTGTGTGTGGGTAAGCCTGCTTGACTGTGTGTGTGAGTATGCCTCCTTGACTGTGTGTGTGAGTAAGCCTGCTTGACTGTGTGTGAGTAAGCCTGCTTGACTGTGTGTGGGTAAGCCTGCTTGACTGTGTGTGAGTAAGCCTGCTTGACTGTGTGTGTGAGTAAGCCTGCTTGACTGTGTGTGTGAGTAAGCCTGCTTGACTGTGTGTGGGTAAGCCTTCTTGACTTTGTGTGAGTAAGCCTGCTTGACTGTGTGTGTGAGTAAGTCTGCTTGACTGTGTGTGTGAGTAAGCCTGCTTGACTGTGTGTGAGTAAGCCTGCTTGACTGTGTGTGTGAGCAAGCCTGCTTGAATGTGTGTGTAAGCCTGCTTGACTGTGTGTGAGTAAGCCTGCTTGACTGTGTGTGGGTAAGCCTGCTTGACTGTGTGTGAGTAAGCCTGCTTGACTGTGTGTGTGAGTACGCCTACTTGACTGTGTGTGAGTAAGCCTGCATGACTTGTGTGTGAGTAAGCCTGCTTGACTGTGTGTGAGTAAGCCTGCTTGACTGTGTGAGTAAGCCTGTTTGACTGTGTGTGGGTAAGCCTTCTTGACTATGTGTGTGAGAAAGCCTGCATTACTGTGTGTGTGAGTAAGCCTGCTTGACTGTGTGTGTGAGTAAGCCTGCTTGACTGTGTGTGTGAGTAAGCCTGCTTGACTGTGTGTGTGTGAGCAAGCCTGCTTGATTGTGTGTGTGAGTAAGCCTGCTTGGCTGTGTGTGGGTAAGCCTGCTTGACTGTGTGTGAGTAAGCCTGCTTGACTGTGTGTGTGAGTAAGCCTGCTTGACTGTGTGTGTGAGTAAGCCTGCTTGACTGTGTGTGTAAGCCTGATTGACTGTGTGTGAGTAAGACTGCTTGACAGTGTGTGTGAGTAAGCTTGCTTGACTGTGTGTGTGAGTAAGCCTGCTTGACAGTGTGTGTGAGTAAGCCTGCTTGACTGTGTGAGGGTAAGCCTGCTTGACTGTGTGTGAGTAAGCCTGCTTGACTGTGTTGTGAGTAAGCCTGCTTGACTGTGTGTGAGTAAGCCTGCTTGACTGTGTGTGTGAGTAAGCCTGCTTGACTGTGTGAGGGTAAGCCTGCATGACTGTGTGTGAGTAAGCCTGCTTGACTGTGTTGTGAGTAAGCCTGCTTGACTGTGTGTGTGTGAGTAAGCCTGCTTGACTGTGTGTGTGTGTGAGTAAGCCTGCTTGACTGTGTGTGTTTGAGTAAGCCTGTTTGACTGTGTGTGTGTGAGTAAGCCTGCTTGACTGTATGAACAAGCCTACTAGACTGTGTGAACAAGCCTACTAGACTGTATGAACAAGCCTACTAGACTGTATGAACAAAACTACTAGACTGTGTGAACAAGCCTACAAGACTGTGTGAACAAGCCTACTAGACTGTATGAACAAGCCTACTAGACTGTGTGAATAAGCCTACTAGACTGTATGAACAAGCCTACTAGACTATGAACAAGCCTACTAGACTGTGTGAACAAGTCTACTAGACTGTGTGAACAAGCCTACTAGACTGTGTGAACAAGCCTACTAAACTGTATGAACAAGCCTACTAGACTGTGTGAAGAAGCCTACTAGACTGCACGAACAAGCTTACTAGACTGTATGAACAAACCTACTAGACAGTGTGAACAAGCCTACTAGATTGTGTGAACAAGCCTACTAGACTGTGTGAACAAGCCTACTAGACTGTGTGAACAAGCCTAGTAGACTGTGTGAACAAGCCTACTAGACTGTATGAACAAGCCTACTAGACTATGAACAAGCCTACTAGACTGTATGAACAAGCCTACTAGACTGTGTGAACAAGCCTACTAGACTGTATGAACAAGACTACTAGACTGTGTGAACAAGCCTACTAGACTGTATGAACAAGACTACTAGACTGTATGAACAAGCCTATTGACTGTATGAACAAGCCTACTAGACTGTGTGAACAAGCCTACTAGACTGTATGAACAAGACTACTAGACTGTATGAACAAGCCTACTAGACTGTATGAACAAGCCTACTAGACTGTGAACAAGCCTACTAGACTGTGTGAACAAGCCTACTAGACTATGAACAAGCCTACTAGACTTGACAGTACTGACGGACAAGCCTACTAGACTGTGTGAACAAGCTCTGTAGACTGTGATGAACAAGCCTACTAGACTGTTGAACAAGCCTACTAGACTGTGCAGCATTGAAACAAGCCTACTAGACTGTGTGAACAAGCCTACTAGACTGTGTGAACAAGCCTACTAGACTGTATGAACAAGCCTACTAGACTGTGTGAACAAGCCTACTAGACTGTGTGAACAAGCCTACTAGACTGTGTGAACACATAGACTTCACTATAGACTGTGTGAACAAGCCTACTAGACTGTGTGAAACAAGCCTACTAGACTGTATGAACAAGCTACTACTAGAACGTCGTGAACAAGCCTACTAGACTGTATGAACAAGCCTACTAGACTGTGTGAACAAGCCTACTAGACTGTATGAACAAGCCTACTAGACTGTGTGCAACCTACAAGCTTAAAAAGCCACTGATTATGAACAAGCCTACTAGACTGTGTGAACAAGCCTACTAGACTGTGTGAACAAGCCTACTAGACTGTATGAACAAGCCCACAGACTGTGTGAACAAGCCTACTAGACTGTATGAACAAGCCCTACTGTGAGCACTGTTGTGAACAAGCCTACTAGACTGTGTGAACAAGCCTACTAGACTGTATGAACAAGCCTACTAGACTGTGTGAACAAGCCCCTAGACTTGTGAACAGCTACTAGACTGTATGAACAAGCCTAACTGTGAACAAGCTCTAGACTGTGAACAAGCCTACTAGACTGTGTGAAAAGCCTACTAGACTGTATGAACAAGCCTACTAGACTGTTGAACAAGCCTACTAGACTGTATGAACAAGCCTACTAGACTGTGTGAACAAGCCTACTAGACTGTATGAACAAGCCTACTAGACTGTGTGAACAAGCCTACTAGACTGTATGAAACACTACGTGACAGCTACTAGACTGTATGAACAAGCCTACTAGAAGAGCCCACTGTGTGAACAAGCTACTAGACTTGGAACAAGCCTACTAGACTGTTGAACAAGCCTACTAGACTGTATGAACAAGCCTACTAGACTGTATGAACAAGCCTACTAGACTGTTGAACAAGCCCACTAGACTGTGTGAACAAGCCTACACTGTTGAACAAGCTACTAGACTGTATGAACAAGCCTACTAGACTGTATGAACAAGCCTACTAGACTGTTGAACAAGCCTACTAGACTGTATGAACAAGCCTACTAGACTGTGTGAACAAGCCTACTAGACTGTATGAACA